GTATCAGACCCTGTGCAGCCCTAAGCCCAGGGCAGCACAGGCCATCTGTCAAAAGACCCAAGACCATGAATCACACTCAGTCTCGTCTATTAGAAGCTTTGTCGTAGTCCGCTCAGGCTACTATGTACAACAAATACTACAGTCTGGGTGGCTGAAGCAACACACATATAGTTTCTCACAGTTCTGGAGTCTGAGAAGTCCCAGATCAAAGTACCAATACAGTGTCTGGTCAGGACTACTCCTGGCTTGCAGTTGGCCGCTTTCTTGTTGAATATTCATATTCCTTTCCCTGTGGTCCTGTAGTGGAGAGAGCTGTCTTCCTTTTCTTAAAGGGCACTAATCCCACCTTGGGGGTGGGGGATGGCGTTCTACTCCCATGGCCTCATCGAAATCTAATCACCTCTGACAGGATCCTTCTTCGCATATCACTTTGAAGGTTTCAACATATAAGCTGGGAGGGGCATCCACAGTTTAGATAGATAGTTCTCAAACGTCACAGCTTGAAGGTCATACAGTGCCATCATGCTTACATTGTACAGTAGGTTGTCAGCTGGCTCTTCTGAAACTTCTTTCTATCAAAATGCTGCACTTCTAGAGGCATTTGGGACCAATGTGCTAGAAAGGCAGGGCATCCTACGACATGGAACTCTGCCTCCCATAGCCTCCAGGAAGGTATCAGCCAGGTGGTACCTGAACCAAACAGAATCCTACCCTTCCTTCTTCCATGGAGCAGCCCTTCAGCATTTGGAATACTCAGTCTTTCCACAAAAATGAATTTATAACCTAAGCTTATAAGTCCAGGGGAACAACTCGCCTCCCTTCCAGGCTGATCTGCATCCTATGCATCCTCTATCAGGGAAGACATCTGGTCAGAAGCACAACTGTCCTGACACATAGGATGGCACTGGTATTACCAGAGGACACGTGACTGGAACATGAGCTTAGATCGCCTCTTCCTTTCCCTCAGGCAGCCAGGCTCCCAGGGAGGACCCAGGAGAGGTCTTCAATGTGTTCTGGCATCTCCTTTGCTAAGTTCCTACTGGGCACTTAAAGAGGGTGGGAGATCTGACACGAAGTATCAAAGGAGGGGCAGGTGGGTGGCTGGTGCTGCACAGTCAAGGCTGACTCTTCCTTCTGTCCCAGCACAGAACCTTTCTAGCTGTGTCAAATTTAACCTGTCTTCTGCAGTGTCCCAGTTATATATGTAACTGGATCCACTCACAGACATCTAACTGAATCCTCCCAGGTGGGGAGCTGGGCCCACAGGATTTTGGAAAAGCTAAGAAGACACATCAGTCCCAACCAGAACAGGTACACACACTCGAGTCCTTACATGCAATCCAACAGTTAGTAGCTCACAGTAAGGCTTCAAAATGCTAGCCACGACTCAGAAGTTACGAGCTCCTCATAGTTTGTCCCTCAGGAGTGTTTCTACCAATAATTCACATCTTCAGAGGAATAACCAGGACTCATGCGCTGCCATGGCCCCAGCCATGCTTTCTACTTGGAGCATAGTACCAAGTTCATACTGCCCCTCGGCATCACGTGGCCTCTGGGATGACCTCCCATCAGCGGGCAGAGCAGGATCAGTAATCCAGAGTGCCCTCTGCTGTCTCTCTTCCACTCACTCTTCACCAGCCTTGGAGGCCCCACATCAGCTCCCCACACTACATCTGTGTGAACTGCTGCACAGGTAAAGGGGCCACAGGGCAAGGATTTTAGTCACAAGTGATTAACTTATATACACTAGCTTACCTACTTAAGTGGAAAAGAGATGTCTAGCGATTAAAGGAGATTTCCTCATTTCTAGTTGTATACATACACACAAATATACAGTGGAAAGCAAGGAAGGTTGCTCAGCACCTACACACTGACTCTGACTCCCACCTGTTCATGCGACTGCGCCCCTTGAGCTTGGAAAGCCCCACAGTGTCACACTCCTCCACTTCAGCTCTCCTAGTTCTACATCCTTGGAATCATGCCTCAGAGCGCAACTCCAAATCCTCTGCCCCGACTGATCTCTGTTCCCTGAGGTTGGAAGAAATCCCTTTTCTGCCTTCCCACTGCACAGATTTTAGTACATACAGTACCTCTGACACCTCCCAGGTCCTGTGATCTTGTGTTGGGAGGGCTGCTTGTCTAACTTCTCTGCTGGATCATGCTCCCTAGAGACACATGCCGAGTCTCCAGTGTACCCAACACCCGAAACACAGCACCATTCAGTAACTATCAGTTGCTGTTGGTAACTATCTGATGATCCCCAAAACTATCACTGTTCCTTCATTCAACAAGTGTCTGCAGAGAGGCTTCTACGGCCATGATCTAGCTACCAGGGTTTCATAAAAAATTAATTACTGGGAGATAAGGCAGCTACATGGTCAAGAGATAATGCAAGAGGTAAAGTATAATGAGAGTTCGCCAGACACCAGGGGATTGCGTGTAGTTATCAGAAGAGGGAGGAATGAGGGGCCAGGGAGATGGCTCAGTGGAATAAGCGCTTCCCTGGCAAGCGCAAGGACCTGAGTTCAATCCCTGGTTCCACCAAAAAAAAAAAAAGAAGAGAGAGGAAGAAGCCTTACTTGGAGTTTGTGGGCTGTCTCACACCTGTGCATTCAATGACCAATGTGCTGGGCAAAGTGCATCACTCATTAAATTACCCTACTCTGTCCTTATTATGGTCCTAGCTCTTTTTTTGGTTTCTTTGGTTTAGTCCAAGAGAATACATCTGATTTACACAAATTTAAAGATTACATGACAGGATCTCACTCCACCAACTCTTTACTTCCAACTCATGTTCTTTCTTTCTCCTTTCCTCTGGGTTGATCTGAATGTACATTCTATCTGACAGGCATCTTCGGTGCTGTGCATCCCACATGCCTGTCTTGCCTCGGAACACCTGAAGACACTGAGATCCCCCTGGCATCTCTTCTCCCAGGAGCCTGCCAACCTTCACCCTGCCAAGGCTCAGAGTTCAACACCTGCCTTGCCAGGGAATCAAACACCAACTAGGGAATGATGTTACCTACCAGCAGGTTCATTCTGGTGCTCACCTAGGAATAAACCTGCACTGGGCAGGGACAGTATCACATCCCCATATCTCATATCTCCTCAGAGTACTACAGTGCGATACACACAGCATGAGTTCAGACTCTTGCTGGGAAAACCTGCTCCGGACCCCTCAAAATGCCTCCAGGCCATCAATGCGGAGACAGCAAGGTATTGTTGGTGGAGATACCTCAGAGTTCCTGCAGCAGGCAGACTTGAGGGGAGTTGGTCAGAGAGAGTGATCAATTCCTCCCTCCTGGCTCTCTGTCCCAGCTGTCCAAGACAGGGGACTATGCTGACTTCTGGGCCTGTGGTATCTGGCACTTGGTTCAGCCCACAGCCAGTACTCAAAGAGAATTTGCTGAAAGAAGAAATTTATCTCCAGGACCCAAGCCATTTGGTGGTTTTCCTTTCAGCTGGAAGTCCCAGTTCCCTGTTTTTAGAAGGCAAAAGGAAACACCAATGACTATGCCTCAAGTACCAGAAGAAAATGAAAACCCTACTTTCCACAACTATTCGGTAACCTGCTGTCAAAGTGAAGGACTTGGTGCTGCAGAGCACAGTCAACTCTTCGCCTTCTTCTACTTAACTCTTCCCCCAACTTTACCATTCCATCAGCAACACCTTTATTCTCCATTCACTCAGGCCTACACCTTGCAACAAATTTACTCTCTATCCTTTGTGGCCTGTTAAAATCTATGTACCTTTACTGCTCCTGGAGCTCTGGGAAATAATTTTTTCTTCCATTCTTCGCACCAATCATGAACAAGATCTCAATGACGCCCATCTAGTCCCTTGCTAGCTCCCCCCTCTCCCCTCCTTTACACATATACCCTGCACATCACTCTCTAGCTAGTATTTAAGTGCTGCTTTAGCCAGCCTGTCCTCTCCCCACACTCAGGACTCGCAGTCTGTGCTATTGGAGGGCTGTCCTGACGCGATGAGCCCAGTCCTGCTCAGATCCCAGAAATCCTGACTAATCCTCCTGCCTCCAAGCAGTCTCAGCTTCTTTTCCAGGAATATGTAACATTCTTTGCCATCTCAAAATCTGGGAAATGATCTCAACTCTTCTTATTCAACTCCCTGCCACGCACTGATGTAAGCTTCCCCCAGGTCTAGCCCAGTGGTGGCAAACCTATGGCACTCCTGCCACTGCCAACACAGAGACCTCTGAGCCAAGTGGCCCCAGCATCCCTCCAGGGGGCAGGGCTGGTACTCTGTGATAAATAAGCGGGTGTGGGGTTGCAGTCTAGGCGCCTGGGCTCACCACTACTGGTGTAGCCTCACTGGTCTCCCTTGGCCCCACCTGCAGAACACTTCTAGCTTCCTACACTACCTTTCTTTCGATTCAGACACTCTCCACTTTTGTGGTGAAAGTCAGGACAGCTGATGTGATCCTCCCAAAGGACCAGACTGAACCTCAGAGAACTGTTAAGAGTGAAACGAGATTATAGGAAGGATGTTCACCTCACACTTGCAACAAGGCGTGCACGGGGAGGAGCTCTCTAACACCTGTCAAGCACAGTTATTTCCCATTATTCACAATCCTTCACAACTAAAGCAAGTATCAAAGAAAACACGAAGCGGGAACACACTTTCCATGGAGCGCCTGGCTTCCATCCTCCATTCAGCCACTCGGGAACTTCTCCAGTACAAAACTTTAGGTGAATGGGCAGATACTGGGAGGGGGCTTGAGAATGGGGGAGACGGGTGTTCTCGGCGAATCTGGTGGCAAGAGCAACAGAAAAAAGTACGCGACAAGAACTGTAAGCCACAGTTCAGTCAGGGGGACAAGGATGTTAACAGGGGCATCTACTATGCAAATGAGACCGAGGACCGGGGCCACATTTGTTCCCACACCTCGCGCCCCTTAAGGCTCCGAGCCCTTCCAGGGGCGTGCCCGGGCGCCCCTCCTGAGGTCCGGACAACCCAGCCACCCTGCGCCCTGGCCTCACCTATAGAGATTTCCTGCGCGAAGGCCAGAGAGATGAGCAGCAGCGGCAACCCCACCGCGATGCACGTGACCATCTTGTCCCCAGCCAGCTCGAGCCGCAGGCCCCTGAATTTGGGCTCGGTGGGCTCCTTCAGCAAGAAGTCCGAGAACACGTACTCCGTGGCCAGGTGGGCGATGGCCATGGCTGCTGCACGCGGGGCTGGGCCGCAGGCCGAGCGCGCCCGGGTACCGCCGGCGTCTGGAGCGTGCGCGGCGCCCCGGCGCGGTCACCGGCTGGACGCCGGGCTTTCGCTTTC